AACCCTGAAGAGGGCAGAGAGCCACATAATGACAGTCCTGTGAGCAGGGCCTGTGGGCGCCAGCCAGAGCACGTGTATGCTGGTGTGGAAAGACCTGCAGACCGCCCCCAAGCCCCCAGCTCTTTCCACAGTCCACTGTAGAGAACACCATCCCCTCTTTACCAGTGGATGCAAGAATTCAATTGTCTTCTCGTTTCATTTCAGAGACTTTTTCACTCAACTTTCTTCTCACATTGCAGTCCTTGTGCTTACAGTATTATTAGCTTTTTCACTCTGATGCTTTTTCCCTAGCAGCTCCTGAGCCAGCTTCTTTATGGCATTGTTTAAATGCTGCATGCACTTTTTAGAAAATTGTTCTACACATCTGTGTTTTTTATTTTGAGACTGGATATTCAATTTCTCCTTATTTTCTTCTCTACTTTCACATAAGTCTTGTTCATCCTTAGAGGTCACCTCCTCAGGGAGCCCTCCTTGGTGAACCAAGCTTGCTTAGCAGGAAGCTTATTTCATAGTAGTGCGGTTGGCTTATGCCAGCATAGCACTGGTTGCACTGTGTGGTTCCTAGTGAATATACAGGCAATAATAACAACTAACACCCAGTGTCTGCCTTACGCCAGGCATTCTTCTAAATGTGTCAGTTTCATGTCACCATGTTAGTCTTCAAACCGCCTCACAGAGGGCAGGTTCAATATTAAGTCCTGGAAAGGTTAGGTGAATGTCCCCAAGGTCACACCACTGATATGTGACTGAATCAGGAATTCAGTCACATCAGTCTGGCCAGAGCCCATCATCTCAGCCCTGCTGTGTACTGTCTCTGCATTCTGGAGGCACTGTGTGTATGTCTGGCTCTGTGCTGAGGGTTAATTCCTTAAATCTCTTAGCACACTTCTCAGGCATAGGTATTAATGTTTTCTCTATGCAGTGATGTTTGCCAGGATCATCACAGTAAGTAGCCCAGGCAGGATTTGAACCAGACTCTGCCTGACTCCGGTGCTCACTCTCTAACCCTCTGTATCACACCACTTGGATTTGTTGTCTTTGATTTTCAGTCTGATAGAAGTCTCTGCTTTCTGTTAGACCATCAACTTCTCAAGAGCAGGGCCTGTATTTAGTTACCCAGTACTAGATGGGTTACAAGAAAATTTATTGTAACTCATTAAACGTGTTACAAGAAAGAGTTAACCAAGGTAGTAAAATGGGTTAGGTGCTTGTCTTATGTGCATAAACCCAGCCGAGGGAACCATTAAACCAGCTGGAGGTGAGGTAAAGAAGGAACACACAAAGTTTCCTTATTTTAAAAATTAATAAATGTTTTGCTTCGTCATTAAAATTTTCTTTTAATCCAGGAAAAGATGATGGGGAGAAGCTAGAGAAAGGAAAAGGTTGAGTCCCCATTATGAGCTCTGCTTCTGCCCTCATATTTTAAGGTTGGAAATGTTGATTATAACCAAAGCCTCCCATCACTCCACATCTCATTAGTGATTTGGAGAATGCACTGGCTGCGCTCAGAGTTAGACACAGAAGCGTTTTCAGTCCTTGCGAGGAAACCCAGCAGGCCATGGTTGGGGTGCCATCTGGAGATCGAAGGTGGTATTACCACTCTGTCAGTTCTAAGTGGGGTCACAGTGCATGTTGCAAAATGCATTTCCTGTTGAGTCACTAAAGTCCCATTTCATAATTGTTTTTCTGTCGACTTCATGCTTTGATCAAATTAATAGTCACTGTTTTCTGTGTGTTCTGTTCAAAATGTCAGTCCTGCTTTATATTCAAATAGTCAAGTTAAATGTGGAGTTGTTTCACTAATCATAAATTCTTGAATAAAAATAGTGCATATCAGGATGAAAGCTGACATGCAGTGCTGGAGGAGAGCAGATGCCCACATTCTCCACAGGGGAAAGAGGCCTGGGTCAAGGTCTGTTCCGCAGAGGATCCTTTTCCTTCTATGCTTGTTCACACCTGCCTTGCTTAAAATTTGCTGAATGATGGTGGGGCTTTGGAGAAATTAGGTGATGTTCTAAACTTGGGCCCTCAAAATGCAGGTTTATTTTTGCCATGATTTGCATAAGGGGTTATATTTGGCCTGGGCAGAATTGAGCTGTAAAAATGAACAAATCACTCAACTCATGACCTTTTCCCACTCTTCAGAATGGCAAACTTTTCTCATTTTTTTGCAGGACAGTTGAACTGAGCTGAACCCTAAACACTCATCCAGTCTAGATCTCTGCCTTCCACTAAGCAATTGAAAACAGACAATTGTTTGTCCCTTCTTTAAAGTTCCCACAAAGGAAAATTCTGTTTCTCACGTGTTCTAGTGTTGAACATGATTTTTCACTGACAAGTTCTTAAATTTTTCATGAGCTAGTTCCTCAAAATAATTTTCTGATGGTAAATTTACTTGTTTTAATCTTCATGTAGAAGATAATGATTTTAAACGTTAGCTTTTTCATAAGCTTAAATACTATTTAATATCTGGTCTTCTGTAGGGTTCTTGATGCTACTCAGCTTACCTGTAACTCAGCCCTTTTCTTAGAGGTTGTTTGTTTCTTAACCCTTTGAAACCTTTCTCTTCCATTGTTAAACGTAAAGTCTTTCATTCCTTCCACTCATACTTTCCCTGTCCCTTTCTCCCCCTGTGCCCAGGCATGTCCTCAGTTAAGATATGGCGAGTCTTCTGCATGTCTTCACCAGTCAAGAGGATTTTTTTTTAAGTCACAAGTTTTATTGAGATATAATTCACATATAATTCACTCATTTAAAATGTACAATTCACTGATTTTTAGAATATTCACAACCATCACCACAGACAATTACAGAAAATTTTCATCACCTCAAATAGAAACCTAAATCCTTTAGCTATCACCCCTCCACCTGTCTCCCTCCACACTCCCCAACACTAAGCAACTACTATTCTACTTTCTGTCTTCATGGATTTGCCTCTGCTGGACATTTCACATACGTGGAATCCTGCAATATGCGGTCTTCTATGTCTGGCCTCTTTCACTTTGCCCAATGTTTTTAGAGTTTGCTCATGTTGTAGCATGTATCAATACTTCATTCTTTTTTATGGCCAAATAATATTCCAGTGTATGAATATGTCACATTTTGTTTAGCCATTTATCAATAGATGGATATTTGGGTTGTTTCCACCTTTGGGCTGTTACAAATAATGCTTCCATGAACATTCTTGTACAAGTTTTTGCATGGACACATAGTTTCCATACTCTTGGGTATATCCCTAGGAGTGGAATTACTGGGTCATATGATAACTCTGTTTAATCATTTGAGGAACTGCCAAGCTGTTTTCCAAAGTCGGCCACCAAATGGTGGCTGTACCATTTTACATTCTCACCAGCCATGTACGCAGGCTCTGATTTTTTCACATGCTTATAAACACTTGTTATCTTTTTGTTTCTAATGGGCATGAAAAGAGAGCTTGTGGTTTTGATTTGCATTTCTGTAATAACTAATAATGCCAAACATCTTTTCATGTGCTGTTTCGCCATTTATATGTCTTCCTTAAATGTCTATTTAGATGACTGGCCTGTTTTTAAATTGGATTATTTGTCCTTTGGTTGAATTCTGAGAGTTCTTTATATATTCTTGCTATAGGTCTCTTATCAAATGTATGATTTGCAAGTTATTTTCTCCCATTCTGTGGATTGTTTTTTCACTTTCTTGATAGTGTCCTTTGAAGCACAAAAGCTTTTAATTTTGATGAGGTCTAATTTATTTTTTTCTTTTGTAATATTTTCTATAATACACGTTATAAAAATATTAAGTGTATTTTTATTTTCCAAGTGTAAAATTATAGAAAATATGTTTTAAGGCCGGGCGCGGTGGCTCACGCCTGTAATCCCAGCACCTTTGGGAGACTAAGATGGGCATATCATGAGATCAGGAGATTGAGACGATCCTGGCCAACACGGTGAAACCCCGTCTCTACTAAAAATACAAAAAATTAGCCGGGCGTGTTGGCAGACACCTGTGGTCCCAGCTACTTGGGAGGCTGAGGCAGGAGAATGGCGTGAATCTGGCAGGTGGAGCTTGCAGTGAGCCGAGATCGCGCCAGTGCACTCCAGCCTGGGCGACAGAGTGATACTCCGTCTCAAAAAAAAAAAAAAGAAGAAGAAAAGAAAATATGTTTTAAAAATTACATCATCATCCCATCAAGAACCACAGACTTAGCTAAGTGTCTTCATCCCAATCCTTTTCTTGAGTGTTTCAATCATTTTGTATTTTTCTTTCAATTTTTTGCATGCTTCTAACTGGAGAGTTTTGACCTTCACAAGGAATTTAGAATAAAATCCCAAATAATATTAAATAAAAGCTGAGAGGTAATGTTTGCAGTCCTTGTTGGTATCCTGATCTCCGGTAACACATTACATTTTAAAAACAGCTGATACTTGGGAGGCTGAGGCAGGAGAATTGCTTCAGCCTGGGAGACGGAGGTTGCAGTGAGCCGAGATCGCGCCACTGCACAAAAAAAAAAACAACAGTGTGAGACTCCGTCTCAAAAAAAAAAAAAAAAAAAAGGCCGGGCGCGGTGGCTCAAGCCTGTAATCCCAGCACTTTGGGAGGCCCAGGCGGGTGGATCACGAGGTCAGGAGATCGCGACCATCCTGGCTAACACGGTGAAACCCCGTCTCTACTAAAAATACAAAAAATTAGCCGGGCGTGGTAGCGGGCGCCTGTAGTCCCAGCTACTCGGGAGGCTGAGGCAGGAGAATGGCGTAAACCCGGGAGGCAGAGCTTGCAGTGAGCTGAGATCCGGCCACTGCACTCCAGCCTGAGCGATAGAGTGAGACTCCGTCTCAAAAAAACAAAACAAAACAAAACAAAAACAGCCTAGCACAGTAATTTCACAACATTCTGCTTTTCATCCACATATCACTGTATGTTCTGTTTATATAGAGCAAATCTTTAAAGTGGATGGTTACTGTAAATGTGATAATGAAAGGCAGTAGCTTTCATGTGGATCATCTTTCTTCCTTCTCCAACAGGTATGGCAGATCCCAGAAAATGGACTCACGCTTTCCCTGACTGAACCTGTGGTGATTTTGGAAGGCCACTCAAAGAGAGTCGGCATCGTGGCTTGGCATCCGACAGCCCGCAATGTGCTTCTTAGTGCAGGTGAGAGCTGAGCTCAGCGGTCCTCCCCTTGTCTTCCACTCTTGTGGCTCTCTGAGTGGGGGGAAGCAAATGTGTTTTGGTTGTGTGCTCTATGGTTTTAAAGCAGATTATTAGGAAACCATGGTGAAGAGGATTGGGTGAGGTGCACTGCTCCCGCAGCCCACACACATACTTGTGTGTGTGTGTGCATGTGCGTGTCTTTCAGGGCCACTTTGACAACCTGAGGAAAGCTATGTATTTCCTGCTATAATTTCAGCAGGTTTCATGGTTCCTGCCAGGGCCCTCCATGAACCATAGTTTTGTTTATTTCTGATATGTAGAAGGTATACTTGGTTGGGAGCCAGAAACCCTGGGTTCCGTCTGTGGTGTTGCTGCTGGCTTTGGGAGACCCCATTAGGCAAATACGCTCCTTCGTTTTTAAAAAAACTCATTTTCCCCTGCTATACAATTAGTATATGTTAGTATATGTTCTCTATAGTATACACAAAAGGAAAAAAAAATTTTTTTTCATCCCACTACTCAGAGGGAAGATCATTATTATTTTTTTGATGTTTCTTTCTGAAAGGTATTTCTGTGCACATACATAAATTATTTTACACACAGAGATGGATTCATACACTTTACACATGGGCTGCTTTCTGTACTTGGTGGTACGCTGTGACCCTTTTCAAGTGCCATTGAACACTCTTCTATTTTTAATGACTTCATACTAATCCATTTTCTGGATATACCTCATTTTACTTGATTAGTCCCCTATTTCTGGATATTGGTGTTGTACAGAAATCTTTTCCTTTATCTAAAATTGGAGATTTCATTTTCTTTTATGGAAGCAATACAGAGAGCATGAGGGAACTTTGTGGGATGATGGAAATATTCTGTATCTTGATCATAGTAGTGGCTACATGAGTATATACATTTGTTGAAACTTACCAAATATATGCTTAAGATAGGTGCATTGTATTGTATGCAAGTTATACCTTAATAAAAGTGGTTGCCAGGCACGGTGGCTCATGCCTGTAATCCCAGCACTTTGGGAGGCCGAGGCGGGCGGATCACGAGGTCAGGAGATCGAGACCATCCTGGCTTACACACTGAAACTGTGTCTCTACTAAAAATACAAAAAAAATAGCCGGGCATGGTGGCGGGCGCCTGTAGTCCCAGCTACTCAGGAGGCTGAGGCAGGAGAATGGCATGAACCTGGGAGGTGGAGCTTGCAGTGAGCCGAGATCGCACCACTGCACTCCAGCCTAGGCGACGTAGCGAGACTCTGTCTCAAAAAAAAATAAAAATAAAATAAAAATAAATAAAAGTGGTTTATTTAAAAAGTGATACTAATGTTAGAGATAGAATTTTTAAAGGTCTTTCCCCTCACCAGTAAAAAGGCGGGGGTGGGGGGCAGTTCGGTTTTTAACGGGGAATACAGAATGTTTATGATTCACAGTGAGTTAAATAAAAAATTATAATGCCAAGTACCTATTGAAACTAAGGCCCACTTTTCAAAAAAGATGCCATGTTTTTTATAGTCACCATTGACTATACTTGGGAATGATTTTTGATGTTCTATTCAGAACCTCAGTCTGATTAAGGAGAGGAAAAAAATTCCAGAGCTGGAATTCCGTCATGGAAAATTTCCTGCTACCTTTCTCATCAAGGCTCAACATAGGGCAGCAGCAACAGACTGGTCTGCATTCTCCCTTTTACATGTGAAGGAGAATGGGTGATTGTCATGTTCTGCATATTTTTAGACTATGTGATCCAGCTGCCGGGGCTGAAGTTACCTGTTTGCCTATGTGTTTGCCTATGAGGAATAAGACAGAAGAAGGTTCAATTGTCCATCCCAGAGCTTAGCTTCAACTTTTTTTGTTTGTTGGTTGGTTTGTTTGTTTTTTGAGATGGAGTTTCACTCTTGTTGCCCAGGCTGGAGTGCAATGGCGTGATCTCGGCTCACCCCAACCTCCGCCTCCAGGATTCAAATGATTCTCCTGTCTCAGCCTCCCAAGTAGCTGGGACTACAGGCATGCGCCACCGCACCTGGCTAATTTTGTATTTTTAGTAGAGACGGGGTTTCTCCATGTTGGTCAGGCAGGTCTGCAACTCCTGACCTCAGGCGATCCGCCTGCCTCTGCTTCCCAAAGTGCTGGAATTACAGGCTTGAGCCACCGCGCCCGGCCAGTTTCCTACTTCTAACCCTTAGGTAACTTAAGTATCCTGGATATTAGTGGCTATTTTTTCTAAATGATTTCAAAATTGCTTTATTGGCAAGAATCCACCTCTAGGATGTCTTTCTCGTATTTTGCTTCTTTTTTTTTTTTTTTTTTTTTTTTTAACACATGCTGCCTCTTTTTTTTTTTTTTTTTTTTTTTTTGAGATGGAGTCTGGCTCTGTCACCCAGGCTGGAGTGCAGTGGCGCGGACTCGGCTCACTGCAAGCTCTGCCTCCTGGGTTCACGCCATTCTCCTGCCTCAGCCTCCCAAGTAGCTGGGACTACAGGCGTGCACCACCACACCTGGCTAATTTTTTGTATTTTTAGTAGAGACAGGGTTTCACCGTGTTAGCCAGGATGGTCTCCATCTGACCTCATGATCCGCCCACCTCGGCCTCCCAAAGTGCTGGGATTACAGGCATGAGCCACCGCGCCCAGCCAGCAAGCAACACATGCTGCCTCTTTTTAAAGGGACCTGGCGGCTTGGGGCAGACCCTTGAAGGAAGGAAAGAGTTGGTGAGCTGAGGTGGTGACTGAGTTGACATCATGGGCCTCTTTCAGAATCCGTTTCTGAATCCATGTAGCTACTTGATTACAGTTTGGGCTTCTCACCATGATCAGAGCAGTCTTGGTCTATTTTTCTCTTCATTTAAAGGTACAGCTCTGTTGTGAGCAAACAGGCCTTACTCTTGGCTTTTTCCCTTCCACTGTTGCACCATACTTTAATATCCCAAAGCTGTGTCTTAGAGCCTCACTGATTTGAATAACCTGCCACCCAGAGTTTTTATTGAGTGCCCTAAACAGTTATTTAAACCTTTTATTTTTAGTTTATTTGGCAGAGAAATAAGCTATATTCGCCCTGATGCTTGTTTTACTAGAAAAGGAAACTTGAAGTCACTTGGGTCTACCAGCCCAGTTAACTCTTTAAAGAAAATAGGGTTCTGTTTTGGTTTTTTCTTTGTTTTTGTTTGGTTGATTGTTTCATATGAACCCAAAGTTAACAAGTTGCAAACTTAACAAGTTGTTTTTTTACTTTAACATCTTTATTTGTTTTATACAAACTGTTTCTTTGTCACTTCAGTTTTTAACTCTCTTAGTAAGTAGGGCCTCTAGTAGGGTCTCTGACAATCAGCCGCATCTTTTCTCTCTCTCTTTCTCTACATATACACACATATATTCTCACTGTATCTGTAGTTTTCTGAGTGTGTTGTATAGGTGTTTCTAATCTTCTAATCTCTGATGGTTTTGCCTGTTTTAGGCTGTGATAATGCCATTATCATCTGGAATGTAGGAACAGGGGAAGCCCTTATAAACTTGGACGATATGCATTCAGACATGATTTACAATGTGAGCTGGAACCGGAATGGCAGTCTGATCTGCACAGCTTCCAAAGACAAGAAAGTGAGAGTCATTGATCCCAGGAAACAAGAGATAGTTGCTGTGAGTATTCCTAGTATGAAAACTCAGTAGTCGGGGCACTTGAGTGAGTGTGAGCTCTTTGCTTTTTAAGGCAGGCAGCAGTACTGGTCAGTGGGACCCTGTTGTGTGTAGACACTAACTGTGAATAAGAAAAGGCTTATAAAGGCTTCTGTCTCCCCAGTTGTGCTTCTCTCCAGAGTTGTAAATTTTCCAGCTTTTACTCAAGTCTCTCACTTTGTAGCCTTTTTTCACAAAGAAATAGTTTGTATCAGTTCACTAGAGTCCTTAAGAGTTTATAAGTCTTGATCAATTAAACCAATTGGCTGCATTCCTGATTTTGCAGCTTAGTATTGAATATTGATGAATCAGTTCCTCACCCTTTTCCAAACACAACTGTTAAAGATGCAACAGGTGGCCGGGCATGGTGACTCACGCCTGTAATCCCAGCACTTTGGGAGGCCAAGGTGAATGGATCATTTGAGGTCAGGAGTTTGAGAGAGACTAGCCTGGCCAACATGGTGAAACGCTATGTCTACTAAAAATACCAAAAAAAAAAAAAAAAAAGGAGCCCGGTGAAAAGCAACGGGTTCTCTAATCAGCTTAGTGTCTTAGTTTCTGCCAACCAAACTGGACCCCAACAAAATCACATACCCTGACAAAAGATGGACATTCGGGTCTTCAGTCAGTGTTGAAACTACACGTAGTGAGTCTGAGAAGGCCTCACTTGCCACACTCTGAGGCCCTTCTTGGGATGTGGTTATTCTTTGGCAGCATTTCTTTTCAAGAGTTGGGCGATGATAGTAGCCGGTGCTTACTGAGCCCTGGGGACTTGCCCAGCCCTGTGTAAAGTGTTTTCTCCACCCGACATCTTCCAAGGGTTGTCCTAGTGCATTCATTAAACTACCAAGGTCAAGGAAGGCTTCTTTCTGCCCTATGATATTGGTAGAAATGGTAGGGCGTGCCTAATCTTATGTTATTATCCTTGAGAAACAAACATTCGTCAGGGTCCTTTCATGTGTTGAATTTTCGCAGTGCATAGACTTGGGTTGGCTGCGGGTTATGGTGGAGAGAGTGAGGCTCACGGAGCGGCCTTGGCCAGATCACATAGTATCTCTTTGTTTCCTCATCTGGGGAAGGGGGATGGTTAACACTGACTTCCCTCCTACACCCAGGTGAACATGAATGGCAGTGGGTGAGGTTGGATCTATGCCTGAGTTTTCCCACTCACCTTGTCTTCTTACAGTTTAATGTGTGGCATGTGCCTTTTTGCTCTCCAGGAGAAGGAGAAAGCACATGAAGGAGCAAGACCCATGAGAGCCATCTTCCTGGCCGATGGCAATGTCTTCACCACTGGGTTCAGCCGCATGAGTGAGCGGCAGCTGGCTCTCTGGAATCCGGTACGCCCTCCCCAGCTTTTCTGCTTGCTTTCACTTGAGTTTTCTGTCTGTTCTAAGCAGGTCTTCCGGTGAGTAAGTAGATTATGGGATTCTTAGTGTAGTTTTCTAAACGCCTGCTCATCTTAAATTGGATGTGAAGTTCTTATCCTCATTGGAGACTTACTGGTAAAGGTATTTCAAAGACATACTTTTGATAATCCTGAAGAGGCTGTTGACTATATTTTTTAAAAAGAACGTATGAAGAATCTAGTGTTTTGGATTTGGGAAATAAGTTCATATTTCATAAATAATACGATCAGTTGTTTAAATCAAAATAGTCATGCTTGGGAAAATGTTCATAATTAGCTTAAGTGGGGAAAAATACAACATACATAGAATCAGCTCAATCTCAGTGTGTACATGTGTGGAAAGGAAATAGATCAAAATGATAATAGCTTCTGCCACCCACTGGGCTGTAGGATTTTGGAATATGGAATGATTTTTATGTTCTATTTTATATCTTTCAACTTTTTAAAAGCACACATATTTTATAATTTAAAAAGTACTTTTAAAAAATAAAATAGGGTGGGCACAGTGGCTCATCCCTGTAATGCCATCACTTCGGGAGGCTGAGGCAGCTGGATCACTTGAGGCCAGGAGTTGGAGACCAGCCTGGCCAACATGGTGAAACTCTGTGTCTGCTAAAAATACAAAAATTAGCCAGGGGTGGTGGCATGTGCCTGTAATCCTAGCTCTCTTGAGGCTGAGGCAGGAAAATCGCTGGAACCTGGGAGGCGGAGGTTGCAGTGAGCCGAGATAGCACTACTGCACTCCAGCCTGGGCAACAGAGGGAGACTCAGTCTTAAAAAAAGAAAAAGAAAACAGTAACAAAGGAGTAGGGCGCTCTCATCATTGTCATGAAATCACATTGATGTATGCGTGCATTATGTTGTCCAGTCAGTGAAATTTTTAGTGAATTGGATCTCATTTAGCATCCCTGTTGCTGTTTCCATGTATGAGTATTGTATGTGCATAGTTCAAACTTCTATTATTCTAGGAAAATGGCTCGCTTAATTAGGATAGAAGAATGTCTAATAAGGTCATAAAAATTTATTTTTTAAAAAATGTATACACACACATATATGTATTATTATCTTCCCCCCAGAAAAATATGCAGGAACCAATTGCTCTTCATGAGATGGACACTAGCAATGGGGTGTTGCTGCCTTTCTATGACCCTGACACCAGCATCATTTACTTATGTGGAAAGGTAAACAGTAATTTTGATGTTTGGTGGTAAATCCTATAAGTGGAAACATTTATCCTTCAGAGATTTAGAGGAGGGGCAATGTGTTGTATCTGTTTACTTTTTCTAATTTGTGTGTGTGTGTTATAAGCTAAGGACAGATAATTTGGTATTTTTTAGGTCTTGAGACTGGACTCTGTGCAGCTTGCCAGTTGTGCAATGATAACACGCCATGTTCCATACTTTTGACTGAAGCAGGGGTTGGGCTGGAGTGTTGGGGAAAATGCTCCAATCAGGGCGCTCTTGTGAAAAAAAGAAGACACACTGGTGTTTCATTTTCACCTGGCAGTGCTACCTGATTGGTGATTTTAGATTTATCTGTACTTGTGTCAGGGATGGGCAACCAGTTGGCCACATCGAATGCTGAAATTTGTTGGATAACCCTAGATGAGCATGTGTATACTTAGTACCACACACCATAGACTTGGAAGGAGAATGGTGCTTTGTGGATGCAAACTTTTGAGGGCCTCAGAGACTCTCCAGAGGGTTCTTGTTTCTGGGGGTTCAGTGCCAGGGCCCTGGGCTTGAAGATACGAGGCCTGACTAAAGCTCAGGGGTGATAATAGTTATAGGGAGACTCCACACTGAACTCCAAAAACCTTCCTCCTGCCTTATGAGCTCAGCATGCCTACACTGTGGGTAGCTTTGTGATTTCATTTTTTAAGTGGGAACCTTATAATTCCCCCCCCCTTTTTTTGTAGGCTCAATTTCCCTTAGAACTTTTTGTAGTTGAAATAATTTAATAACAGTAGAGCTGTTGAGGTAGTCCCCAGACCTGTTATATAGCCCTTCGCTGGGTGGTAAAGCTGGTGATGTTTGCTTTTCATAGTTGATTGAGCATGCTGCAGACCTGCTTTACATTTTTATAGGTCATTGTTTTAGAAACAGAGATCTTGTCTGTTTCCTTGAAAGCCATTTTACTGCAGATGTTAACAGGTGTTAAGTACATTTACCTTGCCATTGTTGCCCTTGACTGAATTAAAACAAACAAAATGAGCAGTTACTCAGATATTAGTAACATTAGATGGAAAATTCTTTTGGGTATGCAGAAATGACTAGTAAGGGTTTAGCTTCTTTTCCATTGCTTTAGATATCTCAATCATTGAGACAAATGGAAATCATGAGAACTGGGAGCACTGTTGAGGCATGATACCACCTAGCTATTTTTGTCTTCTTCTTTCTTACATATATGTATATCTCCTCTCTGCCAGACAAGATTGCCATCATTGTTCAGGTTGGTGTAACTGTGTGACAATTATTTGTACTTAGACTAACATATGCTTCAGCACTTAAAGATATCTGACTCTTCTAAGCAAGAAAGTAGTAGAATTGTACACATTGCCATGAGATGGCACATTCTGAGAATACTCACGAAAACTGAGTTTCTTCATTAGAAAAATCTCACTTTTTATCATCAATATCATCAGTGCCTGGTATTGGTGCCCTTAGGTCTGTGAACAGCATTGCGTTATACTTAAATCAATAATTGCATTCTCAGCAATTCTCTTAGTCTTTGTTTGTTTGTTTGTTTTTTGAAGTTGAATTGCAATGTAGCTGTTTGGCAGAGGCATTAACGTTTTTGCCCTAACCCTGGCCTGGTGCCGAGGCTCAGGGGAGTAAAATTAAAGCCTTTTGTAGGAGGCCAAAGAGACCTCTTAAAAGGCATGCTAGTATTTGATAAGTGAGGAGTTACTTTGTGAGGAAAAGAAACTGTCATATGCTTTAGGCAAGCCTCTTTATGAGGAAGAAAAGGTCAGCTACTGAAGTGGGGTCCCAACTAATGCTGGGTTTATAGAGGAAAGAGACACCCACATAATCCAGAGGTTTCAGTTAACAATCAGACACAGACTTGTCTCTGGTTTCTTACAGGGTGACAGCAGTATTCGCTATTTTGAGATCACGGATGAATCCCCGTACGTCCACTACCTCAACACATTCAGCAGCAAGGAGCCTCAGAGAGGGATGGGTTACATGCCCAAGAGGGGACTTGATGTTAACAAATGTGAGATTGCCAGGTAAAGAATCGAGATTGTCAAGTATTCTAGGTTGGTGTAACTGTGTGACAATTATTTGTACTTAGACTAGCATATACTTCAGATCTTAAAAATATCTGACCATTCTGAGCAAGAAAGTAGTAGAATTGTACCCATTGCCGTCAGATGGCAAAAAAAAAGGATACTCACTAAAACCGAGTTTCTTCATTAGAAAAAAATCTCACTTTTTTTTTTTTTTTTTTTTTTGAGACAGAGTCTTGCTCTGTTGCCCAGGCAGAAGTGCAGTGTTGTGATCTCGGCTCACTGCAACCTTCACCTCCCTGGTTCAAGCAATTCTCCTGCCTTAGCCTTCCAAGTAGCTGGGATTACAGGCACCCACCACCACACCCAGCACATCTCACTTTTTATCATCATCTGAATGCCTGGTGATACCAGAGCAATACAGCTACAAGAAATTCTATGAAGCCCATTTCTTTCTATCCTTGTGTGTACTGTGGAATTAGTACCTCATTTCCTGCCCAGATAACTGAAGTGCAGCAATTAAGTGGCATAGCTGGGGTGTATTGCACACCTACTGAAATAGTGAAACGTGCTGGGCTTCATAGAATGTCTTGTAGCTGTATTGCTCTGGTATCACCAGGCATTCAGATGATGATAAAAAGTGAGATGTGCCGGGTGTGGTGGTGGGTGCCTGTAATCCCAGCTACATTTTTAATCTTCAAACTGAGGCCATGGTCAGTGTTCCCTGGTGGGCAAGTAGGGGAGAGCCTGGCTCGGGGATGGAAAAGGGGGCAGTTTTCTTACCCTATGAGTGGAAGAACCAGAATCAGAACTGTATTTGGGGTCCCACTGGTCCTAAAATAGAGAAACCAAAGGTCCTACAGTGGGGCGATAGGTTAGCTTGATTTAGGAAGTTCAGCTATGATTTAATTTCTACCTCTCTGTACTACTTCTGATTTTTAAAAAATTTATATTCTAAATGCTGGGCTTCCTAAGGGACAGGCTTTTTTTTCATGCTAGTCAACAAATGTACCCTCTGAGACTCAGTGACCACTAGCCATTTCAACCAACAGAATAATTAGCATTACATCATCACATGTAGGGTCATACCAAACATTTGTATAACACTGTGTTTATACGGACTTTTAAAAACCTTGCTGTTCTGGTCTCACAATTAAAGAATTGATGCTTATGTCTTTCAAAATAAAAGTAAAAGAATTTTTAGAAGCCCCCTTTTTATATTAATCTCTAGTAAAAATACAAAAATTAGCTGTGTGTGGTGGTGGGTGCCTGTAATCCCAGCTACCTGGGAGGCTGAGGCAGGAGAATCCCTTGAACCCGGAAGGTGGAGGTTGCAGTGAGCCAAGATGGTGCCACTGTACTCCAGCCTGGGCAACAGAGTGAAACTGTCTCAAACAAACAAAAACAAACAAACCAAAACTTTCTATGGGAGTTTTTGTTTGTTTGTTTTAGTTGGAATAATGAAGGAAAGCTGTTACAGATAATTGAAAATTGTGGTTTAAACCAAACTAATCAAAATGTGGTTCAAAATAGATTGAATTCGAGTTTATGATTACATCCAGTATTTCAAAACACATTTGTTGTCATCTAAAAGTTCCACATACTATAAACACAGTTGTTTGGAATGTCTCCGATTTATGAAGTGTTTCTTGAGCATTTATTATATGGCAGGCACTGTGCTAAATATGCTACTTGCTACCTCTTACTTTTCATAACAATCCTATGTGGTAGGTGTTACTTTTATCCCCGTTTTATGGATGAAGAACTTAAGGCTTGCTGAGGTTGTCACACTCTCATGGGTTTTAGTAGTACAGCTGGAAGTCAAAGCCAAGTCAGTCTTTTTATTCGCTATACTAACCACAGAATTTTCATTAAATCGGTCTTTAAAAATGTTTTTGGGCCAGGAGTGGTGGTTCACCCTCTAATCCCAACACTTTGGGAGGCCAAGGTGGGAGGATCACTTGAGCCTGGGAGTTCAAGAGCAGTATGGACAATCTAGTGAGACCCTGTCTCTACAAAACATTAAAAAAATTAGCCAGGTGTGGTAGTATGTACCTGTGGTCCCAGTTACTCCAGAGGCTGAGGTGGGAGGATTTGCTTGAGCCCAGGAGGTCAAGGCCTCAGTGAGCTTGTGCCACTGCACTCCAGCCTGGGCGATAGAACAAGACCCGGTCTCAAAAAAAAAAAAAATGTTTTTGGTTTATTTGGGACTCTTTTGGTTTTTGGTTTAAATAGTAAAGAGGCACATTTGACACAACCTTCCCTTTAAAGAGGACGATGATTTTATAAACCTTTACCACCCTGAGCTCTACTCAGCTTTTGTTCCCCTGATGCATTAGAGCAATGTATCTGCCAGGTTGTCTTCAATGGACTCCTGCCCAGTATCAGATGCCAAAGGCTGCAGGTTTCCAGGAGAAATGAGTTTCACTGGTTTTGCATATTTGATGTGGCTGTGTCTTCTCTGACTTAAACTCTTGGAATTCAAAAAACATTTCCCCAGCAGCATTGACGCCCACACTCAACTCCCCCCTTGCACACCAGCCATTTGATCTGGTGATCTGGTCAGAATGTTTTTTTAGGCCACCTCTTTTACCAGGAGCTTTAGAGAGATTTTTTTATTGTTTCCCATCTTGACTGACAAAGAAAATTGGCTTGACCTTATCAGAGTCATCATAAGAGAAGTCATTTCTGGTCTGTTTAGTTCTCTTGTACAATACAAACAAAAATGTTTTACCTTTCTTCCCCATTACAGAGCTCTTTGCTCCCTTCTTCCAATATTACAGTGCAAGTTGCTTTACATTCTCTTTCCACATTTTGGATAGTTCCACATTTTTTCTTGAGTGTCATGTACGAGGTGGTTTGCTTGGAAGGGAAAATCATAATCCTACGATTTTTTTTGTTTGTTTTCTAAAAGTCATATTTATACTTACACATGTTCAGCCACCTCAAGCTGGCAGAAGACCTTGTACCCACGTTGCATTGTAGATACAGTCTAACAGATGTGTGTTCTTTCCTGTATGTTGACATGGTAATTTTTTCACAAGTGAGTCAGTTTCAGTGTTGCTATTATTTCTACCAGTTTGTCTGCCCCCCAGATAATTGGCATCATACATAGACCTCTACTCATGGTTCTTGTCTCCAGTCTGCCATTTCCTAGCATAGTGACTCTCAGCTTCCGTTCTGTCATCTTGTCAACTAGGAACACTAAGTTCTGCCTATTCCCAGGGTGGATCAGATGCAGGGATGGGTAAAGAGGCACTTGACATTTCAGACAACATTGTAGAAAACTCATAATTCATCCTGTTAGTCAACCTCATATTTCACTAAATGCAACTTTGCCTTTATTTCCCCTCTGAAGATTCTTCAAACTTCATGAGAGAAAGTGTGAACCTATTATCATGACTGTTCCCAGGAAGGTGAGTGCTCAGTTTTCTAGACAATCCATGTTTTAAACAAATGTAAAAATGAAATTCAAAAATCCCAGGCCTTTCTTCTTCCTTACCCGTGGGTGCCAAATGTCTCTTGTAGTCTGACCTTTTCCAAGATGACCTGTATCCTGACACAGCGGGGCCAGAGGCTGCGCTGGAGGCAGAAGAGTGGTTCGAGGGCAAGAATGCAGACCCAATCCTCATCTCCTTGAAGCACGGGTATATTCCAGGCAAAAACAGGGATCTCAAGGTGGTCAAGAAGAACATTCTGGATAGCAAGCCCACTGCAAACAAGAAGTGCGACCTGATCAGCGTCCCCAAGAAAACTACAGACACAGCCAGTGTGGTGAGGACCACTGACTGGAGTGCAGGGGTGCTTGGCTGGTTCGGGCTTTATCGTCTGGAAAGCCCTTGTGGTCCGGGGCGTCGGCGAGTACTGTCCCAGCTGGGTGCACGGGGGTTTTCAGTAAATGAAAAAGTGGGAGAAGGTCCTCGGTCACGTGATGGTGGTGGTTTGTGGCCACACTTGCCTCCTTTAACGGAGTTAGAGCTCCTTTAGCCCCATTAAAGGAACCAAGTGTGGCCACAAACCACCAAGATTTGGATAGGTATCAGTCTTCCTTCTCTGATTTGGGTAGAAATAAAATATCATGGGAGCATGGGGTCATAGGCACCAGGGAGAGGAGGTCCCTGGAAGGAGGGAGTGGCAAGTGTTCAGATGTAGCTAAGTGGTTACGACAGAAGGATCTGGCTGTGTGGGGTTGGCAACAAGGGGGATTTAGGCAAGAGCCCTTTGGGTGGTGGGGTGAAGGGAATCGAGCCTGCCTTTGACTCGCTGTGGCCACTGGAGAGTGCTGCTGTTGCCGGGAGAGCAGGTCCTGGGTAAGAGAGGAGGAGTGGACACACAGGGCAAGGGTTTCCCTCCCAAGAAGGAGCCTCCCTCACAGATGGCAGGAGCTCTGTAGCCTCTGGGAGAGTCAGCCCTCGCTCTGGTCAGATAGAAGTTACTCTTGATGGAATGATTGGGGTGGTTGTGATGTAGGGCACTCTTGAAGGAGCCTGTTTTGTCCTATAGTCTAATTGGGACCCAGGAGACCCTTTATTTGAGTAAATGCACAGGCTTCGGGATCAGAAGTGGCACTGTGACACTGTGACACAGTCACTTTGCCACAGGGTTTCAGCTAGATCGGCCAGTGCTCATTGGGTTCAAAGCCCCAGATGCAGTAGGGCTTTGATGTCTCTTTTCAACTTGGTGACTATGGCTTGCCATTTGCAAAACAGAAAACTGCATTTTATATCTTACAAGTTTTGAACTTTTTTTAACTTTGTTTACTGCATTTTAATCACTGCCTCCTTTTTTTGTTTGTTTTCTTAGCAAAATGAAGCCAAGTTGGATGAGATTTTAAAAGAGATCAAATCTATAAAAGACACAATCTGCAATCAAGATGAGCGTATTTCCAAGTTAGAACAGCAGATGGCGAAGATAGCAGCCTGAAGGTCCCACCCCCACCCCTACAAAAAAATGGGAGCAAGAACTTGTGCTTGGGAGCTGGTTGTTGGTGTGGTCCTAGGGAGGGCGGAAAGGGAGGCACTGCCATTTGGAGACATTCCATTTCAGAGTTGTCAACCAGCCATAGGCCACATTCCAGTAAGAACTCAATTTGCCTCCCAAATTTGCAGAAACAAAACGTGATTTAAAAGCTGAGCTTTTTATCAGAATTTTTTTTTGATGTTTTAAGTGTTATGTGACTTGTTGAACTTTTTAAAAAGTGCTACTTTTAAAATCCCAGATACTCTGAATTTTAGAAAACAAACTAATTCTGATTGTGTCGTGCCCAAGTACCCTTTTTTTTTTTTTTTTTTAAACGAATAGGGACCAATGCCACATTGCTTTTTATATTTCTTTCTTTTTTAATGTTGCCAAAACCAAAAGTAGCTTTGTTTTCCTTTGTATTTTGCTACTTTGCAGTATTTGTGTGTGTTTTTTTTTCCGTAATTTGAAAGGGACAGCACTGTGTATGTTTATAAACTAAATGAAGATAAGATATTATTTTGTATAAACATTCATCTGAGAACAATCAAAGCAGTAGCCACATGGTGCTGGCTCCTTTGCAGCACAAACCTGGTCATTTTGATGACTGTACAACAGGAAGACTTGAAAAATCACGTGGATTCATATTACCACCGCTCTCATTTCATGGAGTCTTCTGATCAAAAAAACTCACATCGTATTTCTTCCTTTCCTTTCTCTTTTCTAGAAATCGGGTGTTTGTACCAGAATGGAATTTTGCTTCTTGGTTATCCTGTGCTTCAGATGATTATAATCTAACCCAAACTAGCATGTGTTTCTGCAGTTTGTTACACACCTAGGATCTATTGCATTCATCACTTTAAACATCATGTTTCAGGTTTTGGTCAATACTTGACAAGGGTGCCCGGGACAGGAAGACGTGTGTACTGCTGAGTGTTCGTTCTTGCCCTTTTCAGCAGCTTGCCCAGCTCTTGAGTACAGTGGTGGGGACTAAAAATGAGGGCATTCGGAGAGGGGTATTTGCCCTGGGTAATCCTGTGTCCCCATGCTGTCCCCATGCTATGTTGGAGGAGGAAGTGGCTCTTCTTCCACCAACAAAGCTCCTGCTCTACCCTCTTCCTCACATGTGCTGCGACCTCTCTCAGGGCTCTCCCAGCCATTCCTTCTTTCCTGCCTGCCTTTTAGCTCTAACCACATTAAGCTAAGATGAGGCCAGAGGGTGCGATTGAATGAATATTGAGACTGAGGAGAATGATCAAGAGTGAAGCAGAAACAAGAATGCAGACCTCTGCTGTAGCTTTAATGTGTACAAACATGTCCCTCTGCACAACTAATCTGCCCCGCCTCTCCATCTCTCACCAAGGCTGCATCAAAGCACAGAGGCTCCCCGGACTTGGAGGGGGCCAGAGACTGAGTTCTGGTTGCCTGTTCATTCCTCGTTTAGCTAGAACTTTGCCCCATTTCCAATTTCTTATAGTGCATGCTTGGGAAACAAGATATAAGGAGCCTCTGTTCTGGAAGGGGCTGTCTGTGATTGAACGTGAAATGTGTAGTGCCATTGGGACCATGAAGGGAATTCTTGCACATGCTCATGCTGGTGTGGGCGTGGGACTGGTTGGAAACGTCTGTATTCAGGGAGCCAGGGTGAGGGCAGAGTGTGGTGGCAGCTGAACTTGGAGTAATGCCCGTATAGAAAAAGAACCATGTTCTTATCCAGCCAATATTGGGAGTGCTGTCTCCACAATTTCAGGGCATCTGAATGTTTGATGTGGTTTCGTGTGTGTGTACGTGTGTGTTTAATATTGAAGTGGATCATGAGATGTAAAGAAAACAATAATGACAATGAGTTATATTCAAACCTGTATTTGTTTCTTTATCAGTGTAATCTGCTGAGGACCTTTGTGTCTAAGATTCAGAAATGTTTTAAGGTTCTGATATCGAATTAATGAAGTAAACAAAGTTGTTGATGGTGGTGAAACACCGTAGGGCATGTGGTTCAAAGAGAAGCAGGAGGGCAAGGGAAAGTTACCCTGATATTAGTTTGTAGCTTATGACTTATTTAATGAATAAGCCCAGCCAAGCTTAGAGTTTTTTTTTTTTTTATTGTGGATTATTTTCCTGTTTTGTCTTTTTTTTTTTTTAAGCCCTGACATCCCGGAAGAGGACAGTGAATTATTCCTACGTCGGCTCTTATAGAGTGGCCATAGTGTTCTGTCAAAACACTTGCTTCCATTTTCAGAGATAAAAATCATTGATTACAAAATGGTGTTTGTGTTTATTTCACACCTTGGCTGTCTGTGAGGCAGCCCCCACCTCTCTGCCTGACATAGCTTCTCTGACTTTGGTGGATGAGCACGGAGGCATACTCCTCGCTGGGGGTGAGTACAGGGGAAGCGCGTGCGGGTGGCTCAGCTCAAGTGCAAGTGAGGTCTCCAAGCCAGTTAAGCACTGTGTTTTGGCTTCCAACAGACCTGGGCCTTTGGATCCTGCCTCAGACCTTTGCCAGCGGTGTGTCCTGGGATGGGGTTCCTAATCCCTGTGAGTCCCTTTTCTTGCGAGGAGGATGATAATTCCATGTAGTTCAGATGAGAGGAATACCTGTGTGGCCACACAAAGAACCCTCGCTGCATGGCTGACACTGTTCTGTTATACTATGAGTTGATTTCCTGACAGAGCCTTTGAAAGCAATTTTTCTTCAGTAGAAGCAATATTCTCTTGGCTCAGCTGTGACTTTTATTCCAGCAGGCTTCTAGGGTGAGTTGAATTGCAGGGCTTCCCTTTTGAACTATGACATTGTCTCGTGACATTTCAGTGATTGTAGCAAAGAATTTCCCACTGTTTGCTTTTTCTGAATGTTTGTGAATATGATGAATAGTCAGCATAAAGCTCCCCTTCCTCAAAGGCCTTATCTTAAAGTTGCTTTAGTCTGTGAGAAGAATGGCAGCCATGTTCTTAGTCCACCCGTGGCTGCAGGAAGTAGAAGCTGGCAGGGCTCTCTGTAGACCCGAGGTGCCCGCAGTCAGCCGGGAGACGCGTGGTAGTCTGTTTATGACTAACTTGTTTTCTCACTCGGGCCACCTTGATTCTTTGCCAGAAGACCTGAAGGTCAGCATGCTGGCCCCAGACAGCCAGCCAGACCTCGTCTGGGGGGAACTTCCATTTTTTTTTTTTAAGGTCACTTCCCTTGCTGTACTTGGTATTCTACATCCAGAAAAACTCTTTGTTGGCTCTTAAGAATCTGTTAACTCTAAGTGGCCCCTTCTCTTTCTGCTGGCACATTAAAGTATCCCAGTGCTGGCGGTGGGTCACGGACATAAGTCACTGTCAAGGGCACACCTTTCCTGCTTCAGACGGGCAACCCTTGATGTCCAGGCTGGACAGTGCCCTTTGTGCTCTTTTGTTCACTAAAAAGAAGTCCCTTGCCAAAGAATGTAGGGGTGGCAGTTCTTTCCTGCGAGAAGGGGGTATGTGCGGGGTGGACAGCCTTTCCAGAGGGCAGTCTGGCAAGTGTATCAAAAGCCTTAAATGTTTTCTTAAGACCCAGGGTTCCCACCTTGGGAAATTTTGTCCCAGGGAACTAGTGGGAAGTATATTCAGGAATTAGAAGAGTAAAATCAACTCTGCAGAAGGGGGTCAGTAAGTTACTTGTCATATTCATATGTTATAATACTGTTTTCGTTATTTAAAGTCATTTAAAAAGAGTATTGAGGCCAGATGCTGTGGCTCAAGCCTGTAATCCCAGCACTTTGGGAGGCCGAGGCGGGCGGATCACGAGGTCAGGAGATCGAGGCCATCCTGGCTAACACAGTGAAACCCTGTCTCTACTAAAAATACAAAAAATTAGCCGGGCGTGGTGACGGGCACCTGTACTCCCAGCTACTCGGGAGGTGAGGCAGGAGAATGGCGTGAACCCAGGAGGCAGAGCTTGCACTGAGCCCAGATCGTGCCACTGCACTCGAGCCTGGGCAACAGAGCAAGACTCCGTCTCCAAAAAAAAAAAAAAAAAATTGAATAGGAAAGATTAAAAAAAAATAGTCAGTTCCAACTTGGGTTTAAAATATATACCTACCTAGGTTGAAGGATGAAAGTATATTATTTCTGGGTGCTGGATGTCATTACCAAGTTTTTTTCTGTGTATTCCAAGTGCCCTACAGTGGACTGTGTTGCTGATGTCAGCAGAAAAAGTAAAAGTGTGTTTACAAAGTAATTCTCATCAGCTCTCTCCCCATGGAGTCACTCTACAGTAAATGATGTTAGTTGGCTTATCCATTTAGAAGTAAGATGGGGAAGAAAGTGAAGTCCATTGGACCTTATAAGAACATTCAGGACCAGAACTTCTAGTGAGAAGTGTAGGTCTCCTAATACAGATATGTAAGACCACCCCAGAACAGATGGTTTGTGACAAACTTTTTAAAGGATATATGCATATACAATGTATACTTATGTGTGGAATAAATACCAGAAATGTTGTTATTGCTATAGGGAAGTAAAGTTGTGTGTAATTTCTATTTAATCCTATTTTTCTGAATTTATACATTTCCTATAAATATATTTATTCCCAGAAAGGCATTATTAAAATTAATATATTAGTGATAAGTTAATAATTATTAAGATAAGCATAAATCAGTGGAGATGTTTGAAATGGTGCAGCAACATTTGGTTAGCTGTGGGGGCAGCAGGGACACCAATATACATTCTTAATGGGAGTCCACAGTTAAAACCTATCTTTTTCTATTTAGAAGAAAGTAAGTCCCTTTTAATCCATACTTCAGACAAGAGAAAAAAAATGTAAGCCCTAAAGCATGCAATACATCACAAAAGAAAAGACAGATTGGCTATATAAAAATTAAATTATGTAAGACTTTAATACGGCAGAAAATGAAGGTCATCGGAACTGGGAAATATGTTTTCTTCCAATATAGTAAGGGCTAAGTATACTTGGATATGCTTCATCTCAGCTGCAGCTGCTGCCTCTGTTTGAAACGTGACGTGTGAAATGTTAAGTCCCAGGCAGCTGATGTGCAGATGGCAGCCATCCTCGTCCCTGCTGTGGGAACCGAGTCCACCAGCAAATGGCTTATTCTCAACTTCGAACTTTGGGGCGTGGGGTGGGGGTGTGTTCACTAGGCGACGCTGTCCGTGTTGTGCCGGGTGAAAGTTCCCCTGTGGCGAGTGTCAGGAGGGCTGGGTGGGAGATGGGAATTACTGCACATCCAAGATCTTTGAGGATAAGGTGGCTGCTGAGTTGGTTGGATTGGCTAAAATGTGGAGGAAGGTGAGTTTAGAGAGGCAGATGGGATCCTTCAAATTCATTGTAGTTGGAGTTTAATTCATGTGAACGAAAATGGGTAAGAGGGCAGATTTTAGGATCCTGAGTTTAGTGAGTGGCAGATAGAGGGTGAGGCACACGGGTCCCTGACAGGCTTCATGGTGAGGGGCTAGAAAGCAATGTCGGGGCCATTGCCTAGGAAGCCTGAGGGCAGAAGTCAGAGGAGGAAGTTACTCCACCTCAGGACTCAACTTGGAAGACAAGTAAACAGGTCTCTTCTGCTGTCAGAAAAAATCTGTACACTTGAGCTTGGGCACTCACCACTGGGTGCTTAGTTTTGTTCTTTGAGTAGCTTCCTCACGCTGATCTCAAAGAGTAAGTGGACTTTTAGGGAAGGACTTTCTGGTGGGTTTGGAACAGAACTGGGGAGAAGTGGCTCAGACAAAGGCCCGCAGGCAGCTGTGGGGGCAGAGAAAGTTTTGGGCTGCCAGAGAGAAGCAGTCATCTGTGTCTTCGAGGGGAAGAGCAGGGAGCAGGCCTAGTTACAGTGGAAAGGGGTCACACACAGGGTGCCTGGGCCCCCGAAATGCTGTGGAACGCGGTCAGGGGGCTGGTTGCCAAGGTTGTCCAGGCTCCTCTCCACTGGGTGCCTCTCAGGCCCCCAGCAGCAGGGCTCCCTTCCCAGAAGCCATGTATCTCTCATCGCCCATTTCCTAACCTCCTCTCCCCCACTAGGTAGGGTTGGATTCGTCTTGGCATTCACTGGGTGAGAATTTGTATTTACAGTGAGAGTGTCACGGGGCTGGAGAGAACTGTAGTGCAGCAAGTGACCCCGATCCAGTCAGGAGAGGTACTCAGGCTGATGCTCAGTGCCCTGAGGGGGTTCAGCAACAACATCCAAGCTTGGGGGCTCTAGTGATGAGGTCTGAGAACTAGGAAGTGCCCCTTCCATGACAGGGAGCTGTTGCAGCTTCATTTCTGTGCGGAGATGCTATTTGGGTTGTGGAAGTTGGAATAATACCTCTTGGTGAACAAAATCCTGGGCTGCTTATCACCATCCCCACCTACAGCTCCCCAAATGCACAATGAGTTCTTATCACCCTAAGCAGTGTCTTCAAGAGGCAGTGGCCCAGAATGCCTCATAAGCCACAAGGTGGAGATTCCATCTGGGGATCTGGCCACCTGTCAGGTGCCTCCCCATGTAGATACCAGTCTAGTGTCTGAACAGCCTTGTAACTGGTTTCTCTGCCTCCTGCCACCTGTTCCCTGTTTTGCTTCTAGAGTGATGTTTTCTGTCAAAGTCTCTGAAGGAGATACAAGTGAGTATCCCTTTTGTCTACAGGAGGAAGTTCATGCTCTTCTACCTCTGAGCCTCCTTGACTCCTGTCTCTTCTGTCGTATCCCACACCCAGGCTCTTGTTTCACAGTGCGTCCATATCCCAGCTACTTCTCACACCTCCACGGTGACTCCCCTAGCCTGTGCTCCCATCACTTCTGCGTGGACAGAGCCTCTGTATTAGCATTCTCCAGAAGAGAACCAATAGGGTCTGTCTGCATGAGGGAAGAGGAGAGATCGGGATGTATTATAAGGAATTGACTCACATGATTATGGAGGCTGCTAAGCTCCAAGATCTGCAGTCAACAAACCAGAGAGACCCAGGAGAGCTGAGTTTTTCAGTTCAGATCAGAAAGCAACTAAAAACTGAGGTCCCAGCTTGAAGGCAGTCAGGCAGGAGTAATTCTTTTTCTTTTTCTTTTTTTCTTTTTTTTTGAGATGGGGTCTCACTCTGTCTCCCAGGCGGGAGTGGAGTGGCATGATCTTGGCTCACTGCAGCCTCTGCCCCCTGGTTTAAGCAGTTCTCCTGCCTCAGCCTCCCAAGTAGCTGGGACTACAGGCATGCGCCACCACACCTGGCTAATTTTTGTATTTTTAGTAGAGACAGGATTTCCCCATGTTGGCCAGGCTGGTCTTAAACTCCTGACCTCAGGTGATC